CCACCTCTCTCAGAGCAAAAGCTGAAGTCCTCACCATGACCCACAAGGCTCTGCACTTTCTGCCCTGTCACCTCCCCGCCCCCACTCACTCTGCTCCAGCCACACCAACCTCATCGCTGCTCCTCAAACGCACCAGGCACGGTCCTGCCTCAGGACCTTTGCACTGGCTATTCCCTCTGCCCAGAGTTTTATCCTGACATATTCATTATGTGGCTCACCCCTCACTTTCTTTTTCACAAATTATTTATTTTTGGTGGCAGCCAGTATGGGGATCTGAACCGCCCTCTGCCCAGAGTTTTATCCTGACATATTCATTATGTGGCTCACCCCTCACTTTCTTTTTTATAAATTAATTATTTATTTTTGGTGGCAGCCAGTATGGGGATCTGAACCCTTGGCCTTGGTATTATCAGCACCATGCTCTCCCAAGTGAGCAAACCAACCAGCCCTAATTTATTTTTAATTGTTCATATTTTGCAGGTACAGTGTATTGTTTCAATACATGCATATATTATACAGTGATTCACTTAGGGTAAATAGCATATCCATCACCTAAATATCTTTCTTTGTGGTAATTATGGTCAAGATCCTCTTTTCTAGCTGTTTAGAAATATACAACATAATTTTATTAGCTATGGTCAGCCTAGAACCCCGGGACTTACTCCTCCCATCTACCAGTAACTCTGTAGTCTTTAATCTACCACTTCCCCTTCCCAACCTCCCCCCCGCCTCTCCCTTTCATGTTCAGCCTCTGGTAACCACTGTTCTACTCTCTGCTCCTATGAGAACCACTTTTTTTTTTTTAGCTTCCACATATGAGTGAGGTCATGTGGTATTTGTCTTTCTGTGCCTGGCTTACTTCGCTTAACATCATGATCTTTGGTTCCATCCATGCTGCTGCAAATGACAGGATTTTATTGTTTTTATAGCTGAATGGTATTCCATTGTGTATATATACCACATTTTTTTTATCCATTCATCCGTTGATGAACATTTAGGTTGATTCCATCTCTTGGCTGTTGTGAATAGTGCTGCGATGGGAGTGCAGCTGTCCCTTCGATATATTGATTTCACGTCTTTTGTCACCCCCTCACTTTCTTTAAATCTTTACTCAAATGTCTATTTCTCTGGACTTGTGCTGTCTGGTACAGTTGCCACTGGCCACATGTAGCCTTCAAGCACTCGAACTGAGATGCATAGTAAGTGTAGGATACGCACCAGATTTCAAAGAAAATAATGTGCAAAATTTGTTATTAACACTATTTCATATTGATTGCCTGTTGAAATGATAATACTTTAGAGAGTGCATTAGTCTGTTCCTGCCACTTATAACAATACCTGAAACTCGGTAGCTTAGAAAAGAACAGAATTTATTTCTTACAGTCTTGGAGGCTGGGAAGTCCAAGGTTGAGGAGGCACATATGGTGAGGGCCTTATTCCCGGTGGGGAATCTCTGCAGAATCTCAAGGTGGCATAGGGAATGACGTGGCAAGAGGACTGAGTGTGCTAATGTACTTTCTCCCTTTCCTTATAAAGCTATCAATCTACTTTCATGATAATCCATTAATCCATTAACCCATTAATCCATGAATGGATTAATCCATTCATGGGAGTGTAGCCCTTATGATCCTGTCACCTCTGAAAAGCCCCACCTTCCAAATACCATTTTGAGGATTAAGCCTCAGCATGAGGTTTGGAGGGGACAAACATTCAAACCATAGCAGATAGATTGGGTTAAATAAACCATATTATTAAAATTAATTTTACCTTTTCTTTTTACTTTTTCAATGTAGCTACTAGAAAATTTAAAATTTTATATGTGGCCCTTAAATGTCTACTGGGAAGTGCTGGTCTGAATACTCTTAACAGTGAACTGCTTTCCTGTCAGGTGGTACATAGCAGTTGCCTTCTCTGATATAAATGTCACCAGTCCCCCACACCCAACCCCACATCTCTGATGCTCCCCTTCCCATTTCCGTGCATTGCCTTCCTCCTTAGTATTCATCACTCCAGCATCTGGTGTGGACTTGACCACTCCACTTCCATTAGCATCGACATTACACTGTGGACCCCTTTGAGGAGCATAGTCCCCTGACCAGGCTGACAGTTTACCTCTTTTACTGTGTCAAAATTTGCTTAATGGGTTTACTCTGTCACACACACACACATGCACACACACACACATGCACACACACAGGGATTCCTGTGTCTTGTCCCCAGGACCAGCACGGAGCTCAGCATGTTGTTGGTGCTCAGTTAATGTTGGTGAAATGAATAAATGAAGACTCAGCCAATGCCTGTCCTTTGCTGTGCACACCCTAGCTGACAGCCTTTACCTGCCTCACACCTGTGATGGATTCATTCATTGTGTGCATTTTTTTTGTTAAAGGTTTCTCTTCTGTATCAGCTGCATGGGGCAGGGATAATCTTCTGTATTGTTCTACCCAACACATAGAACTGCTCAGATGCACACTTGTTGATGGTGGAAAAGTAAGTCAATCCAACTGAGTGTGCCCATCTCTGCTCTAGGAGTAGTCTTGAATAAAGAATTGGGAACTTTGGGCCGGCCCGGTGGTGCACTGGATAGTGGGCAACTGGGTTCAGTCCTGCTGGGAGCCTGTGTAGAACTCACACCTCACAGCAATCCAGAATGAGGGGTGAAGGAGCTGGGGTATTAATCCACCTACTCCCAGCAATCTTTGGTTGCGGCCTGCTTCCGTAGGGGCGTTCATTCCCTGGGTGTGCCTCAGCTTCGGAGAAAGCCCTTGGGCAAAAAGGTGTAGAAACCAATTGGCCACAGACCAAAGTGGTAAGACCCAGGCCCCTGGACAAAACTGAAGACTTTCCCCAAATTATTTGCTGTGGCTACCCTCCTCTTAAGCACAGAGCTCTCTGGTTTTTGGACTTTCTTGTCTATCATATGAAGTTCTGATGACGACCTCTTTTATTGCACTGTTCCTTGACAGATCACTGTACATCACTTACCTCTGAAATGGACACATTCAGGAAACAGGTCTGGGAGGGACCCCTTGTCTCAGCTGCAACGCTTTTACAAATGAGGTCTTGGGACAGGGTCTTATGTTTCTACACACAGCTTATCTCATCTATTGCCATGATTCTTACTCACTTGCATTTACAAGGGTGACTCTTTTTGACCCAAGGCGTGGGGTCTGTAGCCCCCTTCTAAGTCTAATGCCCGCTGGCCCACACAAGCAGGCCATACCCACTGTTTGATTTTTCATTTGTTTCTGAGTAGCTTGGTGCACTGCCTGTGTGACTGGCATTGTGCTGACCACTTCACAGGTGTCAACTCATTTCATCCTCACAACCTTTTGAGATGTTGGTACCATTGTTATCCCTGTTATACAAAAGGGGAAACTGAGAAACAGAGTGGGGAGGTGACTTACTCAAAGTCACCCAGCTGGAAAGTGGCAGAGCTGGGATTTGAACCCATGCAGGCTGGGCTCTTCATACTCAACTACTTTCCTGCCATTTGGTAAAGAGCCCCAAGCTCCGGAGGTTCTGCCTTTCCCCGGCCCCTCACCATGATCCATTCTGGTTGTGGGCTGTGAAATTCATCGAATGCCACCCCAACCATGCACCATGGGAAAGCTTCCATTCCTCTCATTGCAACATTAATGGGGCATCAACCATTCACCTGTTTTGGGTCTTTGTAAATCAGCTTTAATCCCAAAAGGTAGGTCCTGTTAACACCATTTTGCAAGTGACGAAACTAAGGCCGGTGATGTAAAGTCACTTCCCATGGTCACCTAGCCAATAAAGGACAACATGGAACCCCAAGCACCCCATTCCATGTTATACAAAAGGGGAAATTGAGAAACAGAGTGGGGAGGTGACTTACTCAAGGTCACCCAGCTGGAAAGTGGCAGAGCTGGAATTTGAACCCATGCAGGCTGGGCTCTTCATACTCAACTACTTTCCTGCCATTTGGTAAAGAGCCCCAAGCTCCGGAGGGTCAGCCTTTACCCGGCCCCTCACCATGATCCATTCTGGTTGTGGGTTGTGAAATTCATCGAATGTCACCCCAACCATGCACCATGGGAAAGCTTCCATTCCTCTCATTGCAACATTAATGGAGCATCAACCATTCACCTGTTTTGGGTCTTTGTAAATCAGCTTTAATCCCAAAAGGTAGGTCCTGTTAACACCATTTTGCAAGTGATGAAACTAAGGCCGGTGATGTAAAGTCACTTCCCATGGTCACCCAGCCAATAAAGGACAACATGGAACCCCAAGCACCCCATTCCGGGATGAATCGTGACATTTCCCTGGACCTTGCTCCTCACTTCTGTAAAATGGGAATGATTTTAAACATGCGCACATCTAAAGGGGCTATCGCTAGAAGCCAATGAAATAATGGTGAGTCTAGTTCCTGGGGATTGAAAGTTGGGATGGATGAATCGTGACATTTCCCTGGACCTTGCTCCTCACTTCTGTAAAATGGGAATGATTTTATACATGCGCACATCTCAAGGGGCTATCGCTAGAAGCCAATGAAATAATGGTGAGTCTAGTTCCTGGGGATTGAAAGTTGGGAGGCTGGCTGCTTCTCTGTGCAGAGCTGCATCTAGCCTAGATGGTGCCTTTGTATGAATTAGGAAAAGCCTGCGCTTGGCGAGGAGAAAAAAAAAATTTAGAAAAATGTGCCCCTCTCTGCATAGAAGCTGCCCAACACCCAGAAAAATATCTCAGAAAGCAAAAAATTTCCATCCCCTTCTTGCCCAGAAGTTCATCAAATGTATATCAAATACTTTTTTAGATACTTTAAAATTAAAAGTGCTTTTTAAAAATTTAGAAAGGAATGTTCCCATTATTATAAGGACCGGCCTGGGCGTGATCTTCCCTCCATCTTCTTTTGCCATTTCTCCATCCCCAGCCTCCTGTGTGCTGTGGGTTCCCCTGGGAGGCATCTTGGTGGCGGGTTTTGGGTGAGTTCTCACAGGGCCGTGGGGCCTCTCTCTGTGTCTCCCCAGGTTTACAAGTCGTCCTGAAGTCGATCATGAAGGCGATGATCCCTTTGCTGCAGATCGGCCTCCTCCTATTTTTTGCAATCCTTATTTTTGCAATCATAGGGTTAGAATTTTATATGGGAAAATTTCATACCACCTGCTTTGAAGAGGGGACAGGTAGGTCCAAGCAGCGTGATGTGCTTTTTCCAATTTCCTATTCTTGGGCACAAGCTTTGGAAAGGGATATGCAAGAGCCTTCTTTTCTCTCCTGGCAGCTGGGGGAATCTCCTCAAAAAGTACTGCAGAAAAGGCAGCAGGGGAAATAGCTCCTAAGATCTTGGTTGTTGCTATGGTCTTCAGTTGGGGTCCCCCAAAAGGCAACCTACAGAGTAAGTGGTTCATTTGGGAATGATCCCAGGAAGCACCATTGGGGGAATGGGACTTGAGAAAGGAAAAGGAAGATAACTCGTAAAGGGAGTGTTATCACACAGGTTAACCTCTGTGGGCAACTCGGGCTCAATCCCACTGGGCACCTCTGGGAGACAGCATAAATCACACACCTCAGAGCCATCCCAGCTGAGGGGCAAGGGAGCTGAGCTGGGCTATTTATCCACCGACTTCTGTCTGACATTGGTGAGGACTGCTCCTGGGTGGGCATTAATGCCCCGGCACATGTGGCTGGGTAGAGCAGGCATCGCAGGTGTCTTCAGGTGGAAGCACCAAGAGGCAGGGCCAGAGACAACAGGATATGATCATGGCTCCAATGACACCCTCTGCCTGGTTACCTCCCAGTGAGACCTCGGCCCAGGCTGAGTTCTAAATCAGGAAGAGAGGGAGGGTGACTTGTCCAGGAAAGGGCTAGTGCCTGAGTGCTGTATGGGTAGCAGCCCTTTACCCTGTAGAAGAAAAGAGTACAAGATGGGTCTACCTGGTCTTCCCCAGGATGTGCCTGAAGATTCTCCAACAGTGAGTCCTGGCACCAACCAGTTGGAACCTGGCACCCAGCAGAACCAATCAGAACCAACCAGAACCTAGCACCCAGAGGAACCAATCAGAACCAATCAGCAGCATCCTGGCCCCTCCTCCCACTGTGCCTGTGTTAACCCTTTTGTGTCTGGGTCAAGGGGAAGTCTGGAGGTGGGGTGAGTAGGAGAAAAGTGGCAGGAGACACACTCCTGGGGCTCAGCTCTGAGCCAGCAGTGTGGAAGGGCCAGTGTCCCCTGCTATTCATACTCAGGGACCGACTAGCTTTCAGATACATTTGGTTAAATCCCTAGCTATCCAAACTCTAGCACCTTACTCTCTGAAACCCATGAACAAATGGAATCAAATAAGCAGGGATGCCTGTATGTCAATATTTGAACCACCTGCTGTCCCAGTGCAGGCAGGCTGAATGGCCACACCGGTCCTGAACTCTTTGGGTCACGAGATCTGGGAATGGACAAAAGAGTGAAGCCCAAAGGGGAACCCATGTTGGAAGTGAAGGAAGTTTCAGGCCTCTTCCTAGGAAAGGCAGCCATGGAGGAGATTCCGTCCCTGAGTGGCTTCCTACACACCTTCTCCATCCAGGGACCCCCAAGCGGATTGGCAGACTCAGCCACTGAGCCCTGTCCCCACACCTCCCCCAGAGGATGGAAAACCCAGTGGGGAAGGTTTATTCGAGATGGCTGGGACTTGTGGGGGGGTTGGGGTTTTGTTTTTCTCTTGTTCCTCCTGTCTCCTCTCCTGGGCTTGTGAAGTTTGCTCAATATGGAATGTCCTAATTATTTCTTTCCCCGATGAAGGTGTTAATTGAGGCACAGCTATTTCTACACCTGGCCTCATCACCCAGACGGAAACGCGAGAGAGAAAGAGAGAGAGAGAGAGAAGGCAGGGCCCCTCGGAAAAATCAGCCACGTGCAGAGAAACCAGGACTCCTGGATCCTAGGTTTAATGAGATTTTTTTTTCCCTGCCAAGACTGGCTGAAGGAGAAGAGGCCATGAGACTGGCTTGGGTCTGAGTGGGGCTGTGAGGGAACAGACGTGGGTGCAGCAACTGGAGGGTAGGAAGCCTCGATTTAGGAGGATGACTGAAAAGCTCACGATTAAAAATATAAGACGTGTAAGAGACAGATATATACAGACACCCAGGCAGCAGGTTAATTTTAAAATGTATTTATAACCAAATTCTTCAGACTCTCTGGACGGTTGTTTTTCTGGAAGCAACCCTCAGAGTGTTTCGTGTTGGTGGTTGGGGGTTTGAGGAAAATTCAATCAAGAACACCGCTGGGCAAAGCTCCTAAAGATAGACATGTTCTCAGCTGAGTTCCTCAGCATTGGGAACCCAGTTCCTGCACACCCAGCACTGTGGTAAATGCTCAGAGAAATGTAAAGATGAAGTGAAAGGCTTCCTGCTGTCTAAGAGCATCCAAAATAGTTGGAGGAGCCGAGACCCCTCACTTGCAACAATTTATATCACTGAAGGCTAATATATGGTTATATCCACACACCATCCCCAAATAAACACTTGGGAGCTATTATAGACCTGGTGGGAGGTGGTATTTTAGCTGGACTGACACAAAGGGACTACATGGGGTGGTGGGAATTGAGCCAGACTCGGACACTTCATAGAGATGGAAAGTGTTCCAGACAGAGGCGACCTTCCCAGCAAACAGTGATTCTCATTTATTATAGGACCTCATGATTTTTTTTTCCTTCCCAAGCCTTACATTTAAAAGATTTTTACCTTTCAACTTATATTTGTTAAGTGATAGTCCATGTACCAAGTCCAGTGTAAATGCAAAGGTGTTTCCAACAACTAAAACTAGTGGAGAGGGTAGACTTAGAGTGTCTGTTTAACCGGCACTGGAAAGGCCAGTGAGATTCATTCATTCAGTGTTGGTTTATTTCCCTTTGCCGTGTGCTAAGTCGAGGCTGGGAATTGGCACCGCAGAGCCCGTAACACATACATTGAGATATATATTTTTGTTGAGTAGGAAGCTTGAGTTTATACACTCGGCTGTTTGTTTTTTCCTTGGACAGTGGAGAGGTTTTCTTTGAAAACCTTCAAAAGTGTCACTCACTGAATAAAGTCCTCTCAGACCCACTGCTCTGGTCAAATGAAGACACTCCCAAGATGACCCTGCCTCCCCACCCCATCAATACCTTGGGATTCTGACGTGACTTTTAGCACCTGTCCCGACCACCACCTCCCCTGGAAGCTGTCTTTGGTTTTCAGCAAAAGGGGCGTCCACTGGCACGTTTCTCTCTTCTTGTGGCATTTTCACAATCTGCCTCCTGCTATTTGGGGAGAAAGCTTAGCTCCTCCTGTTCCTTACCCTTAGGCAAGGGTAGGAACTGTGCGTACTTGTGTCCCACACCCCCAGAACAGCTCCCTGAGCCCAGTACATCTCAAGAAGAAAAAAAAAAATCTGCAAGGCTGCAGTAGAATAACACAATGCAATTGACGGATTTGTCCTAATAGATGTCTGAAGAACACTGCACCTGACAACCACACAATGCACACAGCGATTTACCAAAACTGACTATATCATAAACCATGAAGCTCATCCCAGCAGAGTTCAAGAGACTAGAAAAATACAAAACATATTCTCTGACCACAATGCAATTAAGCAGGAAATCAGCAACAAAAAGACAATTCTGAGAGTGTTTGGAAATTAAGAGACATGCCTGGTATTTATGGAGGAGATGACGTGATGTCCAAGATCTGCCTTAAAAATATTCTAGAGGCAAGGCAAAGTGAGCAGAGGGGATATAGGTGAAACAGGGTTGGCCCCGAGTTGATAAGTGTTGAAATTGGTGATAAGTACACAGGGATTCATTATACTATTCTCTCTCTCTCAATATACAGATGTGTGTATAAATATGTTATACATATGTTGAGAGAGAGCTTTATATATGGAGAGATATCTAGATAGATAGATATAAGGGTACTTCAAAAAGTTCATGGAAAGATTCATATTATCTTTCAATTCTATTTTTCCATGAACGTTTTGAAGTATTTTTAGAGAGAGACAGAGAGCGAGAGATGGATATATCTGACACATTTGAGGGTACTTCAAAAAGTTCATGGAAAGATTCATATTATCTTTCAATTCTATTTTTCCATGAAAGTTTTGAAGTATTTTTAGAGAGAGACAGAGAGAGAGAGATGGATAGATCTGACACATTTGTTTTTTTAAAAAGAAAAGAAAAGAAATACTTATTAATTATGCATGGGTCAAAGAAGAAATAAAAATGGAGATGAGAAAATATTTTACTTAAACAATAATGATAAAAATATATGACAAAATGTATGAGATGCAGCTAAAGCTGCACTTAAAGGGCAATTTATAGCCTTTCAGAAAGTTAACCCATCTCAAAAGCTTAACAAAAGGACAGCAGAATAAACCCACAGAAAACAGGGTGAGATAAGTAATAAAGCTTAGAGAAGATGTTAGTGAAACAGCAATAGATCAACAAACCCAAATGCTGATTTTTTTTTAAGAAGACTGACGACTTTATCCCAATAGCCATTTTTTTCAACAGCATTGAATATTCACTGGTTCCTGTTTCTCAGAGCTGGTTTTTGCTGCTCCTTTCTCTGACTTTTCTCCCCTTCCCTTTTATAGATGACATTCAGGGTGAGTCTCCAGCTCCATGTGGGACAGAGGAACCTGCCCGCACTTGCCCCAATGGGACCAAATGTCAGCCCTACTGGGAAGGGCCCAACAATGGGATCACCCAGTTCGACAACATCCTATTTGCAGTGCTGACTGTTTTCCAGTGCATCACCATGGAAGGGTGGACTGATCTCCTCTACAATGTAAGTGATGCTGAGACAGCACATGTATTGGATGGCCAGAGTCATGGGGAGGTGGTCTTCTGGGGCCAGTGAGGCTCCAGAGGCTGCTGTGGAGGGATCCTGAGCCAGGGAAGGCAGACCAGGGACAACCTCAACACAGCCCCAGGAAAGCCAGCCTGAGGCCCAGACCTTCAGATATTCCAGGGCTCATCAGCAGAACTATTGAGAAAGTCCCTCAGGGCATGGAAGTCTGGAGGGCACACAAATGCTGCATAATTTTTCATTGTGCAAGTGTTTAAATATAATTTTAGATTTCTGAATACGTAAGGGTTGTGTGATCAAAAAACCAACATGGATAAAAGGGTATCCTTGGACTTAGCAAGGGGGCCCTGCCCTGGGGCCCATCTGGCCGTCCTCCAGCCATGCCCCTCCCCCAGCCATAGTCCCCACTATGGGGTGAGGAGTCCATGAAGTCAAGAGGACTTACCTACCAAGAGCTTGTGCCCCGCTTTCTAGGCCACATTCTGGGTTATCTGGGATCCTGTAATTCCCTGCCCAAAGCCAGATTCCATGAACTTGCATGAGAGTCTTCCATGGGTCTATTTATACCCTTTGACGGCCAAGGGCATCTGAGGGGGGTTGTTGGCACAAACATGGCTAGAGCTTGCACATGCAAGCTGAAATGTCCACGTGTGCTTGGAGCCTCTCGGCAGGACAGAGCCATGAGTGGGAAGAGAACAGGGCAGGTCACAGTCAAGGGCAGGGCTGGACCTCCCCACACCATAATCCAACATAGTCATCCAGTTTCTAAATTCCACCCTAATCTTCCAGGGTTAATGAAGGTATATCTGTAAAGTAGAAGCATAAAGCATGTTTTATTTAGCAGCTTTTAAATACTTACATGTAGTATATGGCCTCTGTGTGTACTCATGTCCTAGGTCTTGAAAATGTTAGGGACTGATCTGAAAAGATGTACACTCCCATCTGCCCTTCTTCCACCCAGTCTTCTGCCCTCCATCCCCCAAATGCAACCCCTTTAGTTCCTTGGCATATCTTTCCAATGTTTATTTATGCAAATACAAGCATAATCAAATGTATATCCTCTCCCCTCTTTCTTACATCAGAGGATAACATCGTATGCATGCTATTCTGTTCCATAATTTTTTTCTCTCATAATAACATGTTCTAGAGATCTTTCCATTACAGGACATAACAGTCTCCTCATTCTTTCGTACAGCTGCCTAGTATTCTATTGTGTGGCTGCCCATGGTTTATTTAGTCTTTCGCCTTGGGAGAGATGCTAGGGTGGTTTCCTGTCCACTGACATCGAACACAATACTTCCATAAGCAATAGTGCACGTACATCTTTTCGTGCTTTTGCAGATATAGCTGGGGGGTGGGAGGTGTCCCTTCCCAGAAGTAGGATTGTGGAGTCAAAGGCTAAATGCATTTATAATTTTGATAGATATTTAGATGTGCTAGTTTTAAAGCCCGCTCTACTCTCAACATGATACACCTTTCCTCACTCACTTGTGCAGGTGACAGGGCCCCAAGCCAGTCCCCTGTCAGCAGCTGGAGAAGGGTGGAGCCAACGGTTCAGGGTCACCACAAGTGTAGTGACCCTGTGGAGCTTCCTGGAGCCCAGCATACACACCTCTGTCAACTCATGGGGATTTCCTCTCCACCTGCCCTAGGGGCTAAAATTGCCAGTTAAGGTTGGGTCAGGGTTTGGCCTGTTCAGGAGCAATGTCTTGCTTCCTCCTGCATGTGGAAAAGCTAAATTCTCTCTCTGGTCCCAGTGCATATTCCTTAAGAAATTTTCCACTTTGGGGGTGGTGGAAGATTTATAAGAACCCATTCTTTTGATCAGTGGCCTATTTTAGGGTGGGACTGAGAGTGCAGCTTGGAAGTGGGCAGCAAAAGGAGCTGCCATAGACAGTTGTACGTGTCATGCACTGCACAAGTCACCACATCTCAGGAGTGCCATTCATATCATAGACAACATAGATTTCTACTGATATTGTGATAATTTATTGACAGACATAAAGAATGTGGGGAAGGGACATGGTGTTCTAATTTGCAGAAAGACCTTGTCTGAGTGTAGCATCTCTAGGGACAGACGGCAGATCCAAGCTCAGGTCCTCTCTTGGGAGTCACCTGCAAATAGCTTGGGCCAAGGGTTACATCTAATTGTCCAGAGCTTGCTGGGGGATTTTTATGGGTTCTAGGTTTTTACTTTGCAAGGCTGGTGTGAGAGGAGGCTTCAGCAGGAAGTGAATCTTTCTGGGAGGGAAACAGAACTGGATAATGGGGAAGGTTTGGGAACTCAGGCAGAGAATGGGAGTGTGGAGCAGGAGCTTAGAAAATTGTGAACACGGGAAGGGGTTATGTCACAGGGTCAGACATCCAGAGAAAGGGTCCGGGAGTTCAGAGTAAGACACTGGGAGTGTGCTCAGTGGTAGGAGAGGACGTGTGAGCAGGACCACAAATTTCCAGAGGGTTTTACAGTCATTAGCACCATTGCCCAAGGACTGTCTGCCCTGGGAGCCTCTGAGTTCAGAGCTGAGCCACCTCAGGAGAAGCAAGCTTAGTGGTCAAGAGCACAGACTCGGGAGCCAGCCTGGGTGGGTTCCTCCCAACTCCACCTTGCTGTGCAACCTTGGGCAAAGTGCTTGGCCTCTCTGTGCCTCCATTTCCACACGTGCAACATAGGGAGAAGCATAGTCCTACCTCCCAGGGCACAAGGACTAAAGGAGGTGGATACACGTGTAGTGTTTAGAACAGTGCCGGACTGTGGATGAGCTCTGTATAAGCCACAGTCTCCTCTCCAAGTGGTGCTCCTTTTAGAAATGTGTATGGATTTTTCATTGTAACAATTCCAGCAGCACCTGAGGAAGTGGAGTGAGCTGAGGGTCTCACTTTATTCCCCACCCTGGCCACGCCTGTACTAACTCAGAGGAGCCTTCTAGCACTTTCCATGTATTATGTTGTCCTTTGGGTAGAAGCCTGAGCAGTGATTTAGGCTTAATGTGAACCCAGAACAGAGCTTCTCACCCAGGGACGATTTTGCCCCCTGGGTGACACCTGGCAGTGTCTGCAGATGTTTTCGGTTGTCACACTGGGTGGAGAGAGGGATACTGCTAGCATCTAGTGGGTGCAGGCCAGGGATGCTGCTGAAAATCCTACAGTGCACAGTTCAGCCCCCACCACAGAAAATGATCCAGCTGAAATGTCAATAGAGTTTCAGGTAGAAAACCCTGGACCGGAAGACTGAGGCTCCGTGAGGACAGGGATTCCTGCTGCGATCACCCGCCATTCTCTGGCCACAGGTCTTGCATGGGGAACCCCCAGGAGCAGCCCCCAACCAATGCCTGGAGGAGTGGGTGGATAAATCCCCCAGCTCGCCCCCCTCAGGTGCTTTGATCTTGCATGAGTCTCCCCAGTGGGATTGGGCTCCAGCTGCCCGCAAGGCTAACCTGCTCACTAACACACCCTGTACCTGCCGCTTTCCCTTTCTGTCTGGTGCCTTGTGGGATCAACTCCTGGATTCCTTTCCTGGGGTTGCTGTAACAAAGTACCACAAACTGGCTGGCTTAAAAAACAGAAATGTGTTGTCTCGCAGTTCTGGAGGCCAGAAGTCCAAGCTCAAGGTGTCAGCAGGGCCATGCTCCCACTGAAGACATTAGGGGAGAGTCCTTCTTTGCCTCTTCCAGCTTCTGGTGATCGCTTACAATCATTGGTGTTCCTTGGCTCGTAGGTCCTCCGTCCTCCACTCCAGTCCTCTATCATCACATGACATCCTCTCTTTGTGGTCTGTATCTGTGTCTCTCCTTTTCTTAGAAGGACAGATCGCTTACAATCATTGGTGTTCCTTGGCTCGTAGGTCCTCCGTCCTCCACTCCAGTCCTCCATCATCACATGACATCCTCTCTTTGTGGTCTGTATCTGTGTCTCTCCTTTTCTTAGAAGGACACCAGTCACATTGGATTAGGATCCACCCTACTCCAGTACAACCTAATTTTAACTAATTACATCTGCAATGATACTATTTCCAAATAAGGTCACATTCTAAGGTGGAGTTAAGACTTCAACATATATTTGGTGGGGGTGGGGGACACAATTCCATTATAACACCTCCCTAGTAAACTACTGGCACATGAACCTTTGTTTGGGGCTTCCCAAATTAAGACAATCTCTGCCTGACACAACCAGTAGGGGTTCTCATTCCAGGATGTGGGGAATAAGGTTGCTGTCTTTGAGTTTCTGCTGGGGGGACAGAGCTGTTGCTTTTCAGGACTCATCTGGACCCTACTTTGTGCCCAGCCATCCACCAGCCCTGCTCAGACCTGTCCTGGGATGCCCATCACTCACTCTGGCCACAGGCAGGCACAGTGTCCAGAATCTTTGTCCTCTGTGGCTGATGCTAGAGCCAAGGCTCATGGTGTAGCCTTGCCAGCCGCAACTCCCTCACTCAATTCTGAACAAGCCGGTAGGTAAGATCCATGGAGAGTCCAGACCTACTTGCTCCAAGTATCTTGGAATCTATGGGTGCAGATGACCATTGGAGGCCACCTGCCTGGATGGGCAGCACTTTAAGATTCTAGCATCTCATTTTTTTCTCCTAACATCATTGAAATCCATTTATTTATTCAGTACAGATGGCCCCTGACTTAAGTTTTGACTTATGATTTTTTGACTTTACAATGGTGCAAAAGAGATTTGCATTCAGTAGAAGCCTTACTTCAAATTTTGAATTTTGGTCTTTTCCTTGGCTAGCAATATGCAGTACGATACTGTCTCATGATGCCAGGCTCGCGGTGGAGATCTGCAGCTCCCAATCCGCCACCTGATCATGAGGGTAATCAGATGATACTCTGCATTTTTGACTTCCAGTATCTTCAACTTACAATGGGTTTCTCAGGATGTAACCCCATTGTAAGTCGAGGAGCATCTGTAATTGTTTGTTGAGCACCTAATGTGTGCTGGGCAATGATTAGGTGATTGGGGACACTGCAGTGAAG